CCCAACAAGAGAGAATCTAACAATCACCCCTTGACTTTCAGTGGTGTTACCATCACTGTATCGCCCATGGTCAACATCCTGGAGATTACCATTGACCAGAAACTGAACTGGACAAGCCATATAAATACAATGGCTCCAAGGAAACAAGGCCAAAATATAAACGGAACCAATGGTGCAAAATAAAGCTAAGGTGACTGAAAAGGTTAAAAAGACAAGTCTAAAGGCTTTATATATTAACACGTGGAGCATTCACAAAAAAGTAGATGAATTAGCACCACACATTGATATAAACTGTTATGATATAGTACAACTTTGAGGAAGGGTCACTGGACCTGAAACGTTAACTCTGATTTCCGTCCACAGATGCTGCCAGACCTTCTGAGCTTTTACAACAATTTGTTTTTGTATCTGATTTCCAGCATCTGCAGTTCTTTTGGTTTTTATTTTGTAATCATGGGTGACTTTCATTTATGTCTGGATTGGACAAACTAAACTAGCAATGGTATTATGGAAGAGGATTTCCTGGAGGGTATCTGTGATGGTTTTTAAGACTAATATATTCAGGAACCAATGACAGAACAGGTTATTCTACACAGGGTACTGTGCAAACAGAAATGATTAATTAACGATCTTGTTGTTCGGGATCTCTAGGGAAACAGTAATCATAATATGGCAGAATTCTTCATTAAGATGGTGATTGATGTAGCTGAATCTAAAACTAGGGTCATGAATCTAAATTAATGGGAACTATAAGGTTATGAGGCACGAATTGGCAATCATAGATTAGGAAAATTTACCAAAGGGGCTGAAGGTAGATAGGCAATGGTTCATATTTAAAGAATGCATGCATGGATTACAACAATTATTCATTCTTTTCTGTCACAAAAATAAAAGAAGAAAGATAGTTCAACCATTGCTTACAAAAGAAGAGATTGTATTAGATCCAAAGAGGAGGCATATGAAACAAAGACAACAAGGTGCAGGGCTGGATGAACACAGCAGGCCAAGCAGCATCATAGGAGCAGAGAGGCTGACGTTTCGGGCCTAGACCCTTCATCAGAAAAGGGGGAGGGGAAGGGGGTTTTGAAATAAATAGGGAGAGAGTGGGAGGCGGATAGAAGAGGGATAGAGGAGAGGATAGGTGGAGAGGAAACAAACAGGTCGAAGAGGCGGGGATGGGGCCAGGAAAGGTGAGTGTAGGTAGGGAGTTAGGAAGGGGATAGGTCAGTCCAGGAAGGACGGACAGGTCAAGGGGGCGGGATGAGGTTGGTCGGTAGGAGATGGAGGTGCAGCTTGAGGTGGGAGGAGGGGATAGGTGGGAGGAAGAACAGGTTAGGGAGGCAGGGACGAGTTGGACTGGTTTTGGGATGCGGTGGGGGGAGGGGAGATTTTGAAACTTGTGAAATCCACATTGATACCATTGGGCTGCAGGGTTCCCAAGCGGAATATGAGTTGCTGTTCCTGCAACCTTCGGGTGGCATCATTGTGGCACTGCAGGAGGCCCAGGATGGACATGTCGTCTGAGGAATGGGAGGGGGAGTTGAAATGGTTCGCGACTGGGAGGTGCAGTTGTTTGTTGCGAACCGAGTGTAAGTGTTCTGCAAAGCGGTCCCCGAGTCTCCGCTTGGTTTCCCCGATGTAGAGGAAGCCACACCGGGTACAGCGGATGCAGTATACCACATTGGCAGATGTGCAGGTGAACATCTGCTTGATGTGGAAAGTCTTCTTGGGGCCTGGGATGGGGGTGAGGGAGGAGGTATGGGGGCAGGTGTAGCACTTCCTGCGGTTGCAGGGAAAAGTGCCGGGTGTGGTGGAGCTGGAGGGGAGTGTGGAGCGGACAAGGGAGTCACGGAGAGAGCTGTCCCTCCGGAAAGCAGATAAAGGTGGGGAGGGAAAGATGTCTTTGGTGGTGGGGTCGGATTGCAGATGGCGGAAGTGTCGGAGGATGATGCGTTGGATCCGGAGGTTGGTGGGGTGGTACGTGAGGACGAGGGGGATTCTTTTTTGGTTTTTATTGCGTGGACGGGGTGTGAGGGATGAGGTGCGGGAGATGTGGGAGACACGGTTGAGGGCGTTCTCGACCACCGAGGAGGGGAAGTTACGGTCCTTGAAAACGAGGACAACTGAGATGTACGGGAGTGGAATGCCTCATCCTGGGAGCAGATGCGGCGGAGGCGAAGGAATTGGGAATAGGGGATAGCATTTTTGCAGGAAGGTGGGTGGGAGGAGGAGTATTCTAGGTAGCTGTGGGAGTCGGTGGGCTTGAAATGAATATCGGTTTCGAGGTGGTTGCCCGATATGGAGACAGAGAGGTCCAGGAAGGGGAGAGAGGTGTTAGAGATGGTCCAGGTAAATTTAAGGTTGGGGTGGAAGGTGTTAGTGAAGTGTATGAACTGTTCGAGCTCCTCGTGGGAGCACGAGGCGGCGCCGATACAGTCATCAATGTAACGGAGGAAGAGGTGGGGTTTAGGGCCGGTGTAGGTACGGAAGAGGGATTGTTCCACGTAACCTACAAAGAGGCAGGCGTAGCTTGGGCCCATGCGGGTACCCATGGCTACCCCCTTTGTCTGTAGGAAGTGGGAGGAATTGAAAGAGAAGTTGTTGAGTGTGAGGACGAGTTCGGCTAAGCGGATGAGGGTGTCAGTGGAGGGGGACTGGTCGGGCCTGCGGGACAGAAAGAAGCGGAGGGCCTTAAGGCCATCTGCATGGGGAATGCAGGTGTAGAGGGACTGGACGTCCATGGTAAAGATGAGGTGTTGGGGACCGGGGAATTGGAAGTTCTGGAGGAGGTGGAGGGCGTGGGTGGTGTCATATGAAATTGCCAGTAAAAGCAGCAAGCCTGAGGATTGGGCGAATTTTAGAATTCAGCAAAAGAAGCCAAAATGTTTCATGGTTAAACAGATTTGGAGTGTAAAATTGCATGGACCATAGAAACTAACTGTAAAAGCTTCTGTGAATATATGAAGTGAAAAAAGATTTGTAAAGACAAACGTAGATCTCTTACTGGCAGAAGCTAGGGAAATTATAGTGAGAAACAAAGAAATGATCGAAGACTTGAACACAGACTGTGGTTCTTTCTTCACAAAAGAGCGCAGAAAGAAATGTTAGGGAACCAACGGTCTAGTGAGGGGGCAGAATTGAAAGAAATTAGTAAGAAAATGGTACTGGTTACATTAATGGGGTAAAGGCTGATAAGTCCCCAGGATCTGATAATCTATATCTCAGAGAACTGAAGAACATGACTCTGAAAATACTGGATGCTGGTCATCTTCTAAAATTATACAGATACTGGAGTAGCTTCTACAAATTGGAGGGTGGACAATGTGACCCTACTATTTAAATAAAGGGGGGAGAAGAAAAAGGAGAATAGCATACCAGTTAGGCTGATGTCAGTAGTGGGGAAAATGCTGGAGCCTGTTATAAAGAATGTTATAGCATAACATTTGCAAAGCATTAATGGGATTGGACAAAGCCACCATGGGTAAATAACGCTTAACAAATCAATTGGAGTTTTTTTGAGAATATAACTAATACAATAGATGAAGGCGAACCAGTGGATAGGGTATGTTTGGATTTTTAAAAGGCTTTAGATGAGGTACATGGGCAAAATTATAGCACATGGGATGGGGATAATATGTTAGCACGGATTGAAAATTAGTTGACAGAGAGTGGGCATAAGGGGGTCTTTTCCGGGTGGCAGGCAGTGACTAGTAGGGTAGAAAAAGGATCAGTGCTTGGGTCCCAGCTAGGGCACCAGATGCAACATCACCAAATTTGCTGTTGACAAAACTTGGCAGAATTGTAAGTTGTTAGGAGGTGGCAAGGAGGCTTCAAGGTGATTTAGACAAGTTGAGTTAATGGGCAAACACACAGCAGATACAGTACAATGTGGCTAAATGTAAAGTTATACACTTCAATGTGAAAAACAGAAAGGAACAGTAGTACTTACATGGTGATGTATTGGGAAGTGTGGACGCACAAAGGGATCCGGGTGTCCTTGTACACCAGTCGATTTAGGTAGACAGGTAGGTGCAGCAAGCAACTAGGAAGGCAAATGGTATACTGCCCTCATTGCGAAAGGATTTGAGTTCAGAAGTAGGGATACCTTATTCCAGTTATATACTGCCTTGGTGAGATCACAGCTGGAAGAATGTAAGAGTACAGTTTTGGTCTCCCTACCTAAGAAACAATATACTTGTCACAGAGGGAGTGCAAAAGAGGGTCACTAGGCCAATGGCGGAGTTCGCAGGACTGTCCTGGGAGAGATTGGTTTGACTAGGCCGATATTCACTAGAGTTTAGAAGGATGACAGGGGATCTGATTGAAACATATAAAATTCCAACAGGGTTAGATGGACTAGATGCAGGGAGGAGGTTATCCCTCATTGGGAAGTCTAGAACTAGGGAAGACAGTCCCAGGATAAGAGGTAGACCATTCAGGGCTGAGATGAGGAAACATTTCTTCACTTGAAGGGTAGTGAACCAGTGGGATTCTCTACCACAGAAAGCTCTGGAGGCCAAGTCACTGAATATTTTCAAGAAAGAGAAGGATTTTAAAAATATTTTAAAGGCAACAAGAGGTATGGGGGAGAAAGGGGATACTGCAATGAGACAGAGGATCAGCCAGGATCCTACTGAATAGCGGAGCAGGTCCAAGTGCCAACTGGTCTCCTCCTGCTCCTAGATTCTATGTTTCTAAAAGCAGGTCAAAGGCTAGGAATCCTGCAGCGAATAATTCTCCTGACTCCCCTGTCCACCATCTATAAGGCAGAAGTCAGGAGGTTGATGGAATACTCCCCACTTGCCTGGATGGGGGTAACTCCAACAACACTCAAGAAGCTTGACACCATCCAGGACAAAGCAGCCCCCAGACAGAAAGTCTTCATACACCTTCGCAGGGTCAGTAAGGGTGGGAAGAAAGAGGGAGAATGAGGAGGAAAGTGGGGAGAGACAGAGATCTGTTCCCAAGAGATTCATCTACAAAACAAGCACCATCACAAATACTGGTCTGTTATTTATTAGATAAATGTCATGAAGATGTGGAGCTGTTTAATTTAAATAAGTTTCACAAATTTGTTAAAAAGTATGTGCATCAATACCCCTCAGGCAAAAACTGAGGAGCACTTTCAACATCAGAAGCAAATTTCACAAGACAGCATTTGGCGACATATACACTAAAAATGCAAAGTGATGTAAAATAGAAACAGGAACAAGTTATTTTCTAATGATGAAGAATATCCAATATCAGTGCTGTCATCAGGGCTTATTCAGAATGATCAATGACGGGGAAGAAAATCCCACTTTAAACAATCCATGAGCATTGCTGAACAGATCTTGGAACACATCTTTACCCCAACACCTGGAATTGTACTAAAACCATTGGAATTCCAGTCCAGTCCAAAGGCCATCAAACTCTGGATCAGTGAGGTTCCTGTGAAGGCCCAAGAGGCCTGCCAGATTTCTATCTGTCACCTCTCTGCTATTGTTCACCTTCCTGGCACATCACTTATGCTGCTGTAAAATGAATGGAAAGCCACAGCACTGTTTTGAAAGATATAGTTTCCAGTCTGGTCAGGCTGCTCCTAGGGAATGGGTTGCTATTTCTGGAGTTGTGGATGAGTCGTTGGATGTATCTCTCGATACGTCACAAAGAAATGTAAACCAAAATACACACTCCCCAGACTCAGTCAGTTAGAACTCTACTGATGCATTCTACTGTCGTTTGGGTAGATAGAGTCAGCACAGCATAAATCTTCCACAAGTTACTTGCATCAGGCTAATTCACACTTTTTATAAAATCCACTGTGAACAACACTTTCACAGATTCTAATGTGAGAAGGTGTTTTCTTAATGGAATATTACTTGTTAGTCTTCCTGATTGAATCTCTGTGGTGATGCTGTGACAGAATTGGAGAGAAGGTTGGAACCTGCACATTTAAACCCAATTATGGATTGCTCAGTGGGATTTTGCAGAATAATGATGTTTGACATCACATATATGAGGAGCTAAAAAAATTAAGAAAACTCATTAAATTCAATGCAAGCCTATACTCTTGGAGTATGAATCATCTGTACAAATTTCGCATTTCAATATCAAATTCGGAGAAAATACAGATTTTGCTTCCAGTGCTTATTTGTCTGCATATAATATATATATATCCTGAACCAACATTGGCTTTCTATAAAATCAAAACTTGCTTTACTCCTCTTCCCTCCATTCCTGCAGTATTTTTCTATGTGTTGATTACCCCACAATACCTCACTCTGTTTATATGTCACAGGCCATAGGGTAATTGAGGGCATCATAGCTGAGCCAATCTTACCCTTTAAATGGTATTCAGATGCCTCCCCCTCCAACCCTAAGGCAAACCACAACCAGTAGTGCCTACCCTTGCCTGAGATTTGCTAAGTCAGTGAAAGTTAAGGGAAGAACAAGGATTTATTTTGGTGTCAAAAGTGTTTCCCACTACATTTTGAAAACATCTGCCATAACGTTTAGATATCAAATCTTTACAGACTGAGCTTGTGGTAATACGAGTTCCTGCAGTTGGCCAAAAGCAAATCATCATCCTCAGGTCATGTAAACTTGTGGGGACTGCTTTTCTTTACAATGAAGTTACTCCTGAATCCGGGATTGCTCACCAATGCTGACATTGCCGAATAGCTCAGTGTAAAGGTGGTCTCTTTTGGAAATAAAATTCTTCAAAAAAAAAACACATTCAAAATAACACAGATAACTGGAATAAAAATGATCAGAGTTCTCGGGCTCCGTATTCAATAACTGAATTAGAACACATGATCCAATGAATATTTTCAATGAGAATGTAGGCTCCTATCCTACAGCAATTGGTGTGGAAGAGACATTCTCACCTTGGGCACAGGTATTCACATTCAGACTGATGCAGATGGCCATACTGAGGGCAAATAGGTTCCAGCCACTGAATGCCCACAGTCTGACACAAGAATCAGCAATCTCAGCCCCGAGTGTCTACAAGAGATGGCTGGTGCACAAGAAATGACAAGCTATCACACTTGTGTACAGCAGGGTGTGGAGTGCTTAGGGAATTAAGGCACATTGTTGGAGGAGAGCAGATGGGGCTTTACTCCATGTCTGACCTAGGAGTGTTCAGCACTCACACCATAGTCTCAGAGCAGAAAACAGAAATACCTGATTTCCCAACATCAATATTTGTAATCACCCCAGGTGCCTGCATACACAGACACACTGACACACAAACACACATAAAATTAATGCCCCTTTGCAGGATCTGTACATACAGCACTCCCCCTCACAGGGTCCTGAGTCACATGCTGCCAGTTTCAAAGCGAAGCACCTCGTGTGACACCAGGTATTAATGAAAGCTTGCACATAGAAGGTGTTGTCAGCTACCTATGTGCAAGGAAATTTGAAAAAACTCAAGGGTCTAATTTCCATTCAAGATATATGACCCTTTTGTCATCTCAAAGGAAAGTTTTAGTTCTGCATTCTCTACATTATATTTTCTTCTTGTCTAGTCTTATTTTTTCACAGTCAGTTGGGTGAAGTACTGATGTCATTCACCTGTGAGCCTATAGTAATTGCCTCTCAACCACAGGAGGAGAGCGCCCTACTCTGTCCCTGTACCAGAGCAGCAGCATTGACTGGGGCTAGTCTCTCTGCTCTGATACTCTCAGTGATGCGCGGGTGGCTGGTACATCCCTGGCTCTGAGCAGTTAGCTCATCACAGGTAAGGAAACAATCCCCTCCAGGTCTTCACAAAGTGCTGAACTCATGCCAGGCTGTTTCAGTAACGTCACTGAATGGAACTTGAGTACATCCTGCAGTGGTCTCAATGACTGGCATGGGACAACAGGGATGGGGATGGGGATGGGAAGGTGCAAATGCAGAGATTGAGCTGGGAGCTAGACAAGGTGCCTACCCCCACTCCATTTCACTGGGTGGGTGAGGGGAGGGTCTTATAGCATTGACAAGAAATTTGTTTAACTAAAGAGCTGTATTCTTAATCAATCTAATTACTTTGAACAGAGTGTAAAGGATATACCTTCAACAACATTGATTTAATCCAGTGGTTTGTCTAGGATAACCTTCCTGTCCCACAATGAAATCTAGACTGAACATCGTGACTGTAATGTAAATAATTTAGAGATGAGCCACTGTACAACATACTCACACCTCAGCACCCTGTCTCTGCAGTCCTGACCTGTCAGTGTCGACTCTACTGTCATCATCTGAATGATGGCTTGCTTTGTCGTAAAAGGCTTCAGGACTGCTCCCCTGTGCTGTCTCCTCTGTTCCTGAGCCCCGGTCGTTTCGTTCCTCAATCTTAGATCCTGACAAAGTCTGGCTCAGTGGCTGGCACTGAGCGCTGAGGAGAGTAACCCCAGTCCCTCCACTCTTGCACTTGCTGCTGGCCTCCCCTTTAGAAGCTTCCTCAGCAATCAGTGTTACTGTCACACTCACTGCTCCTACACTGTCGACTCTCTGTTCTACACTGCTGCTTTCTTTGTGGGTTGAGACTACGGTAGGTTCAGCAATTGGCAAACAGCTGGATGCTCCTGACATTTTGTAGAGACGCTGAGTCTCACAGTTAGTGCGTGTGAGTATTGCATCACTCTGCTCCCCCTCCTCACTCTTCACTCCACTCTGATAATTATGGTCACTTTGCTCTCGCCCTGCAACACTAGGCAGCCTGCTCATTTCACTGCACTGAACACCAACACTTACTGATGGTATCGGAGATGCTAAAGGTTGACCTTGATTTTTATCTTTCTCACTCTTCATTGTAGCACTACCTGCCCAGCCTACACGGAGGAGGGTGTTAACTACAGCTTGTGAGCTTTGGTCTGTACCACGATCAAGATCTGACTGATTGTCTCTGGAATGCTGTCCCCTTCTACAGGTTCCATTCGCCTCGTTCGCTGACACAGTCTCATGGAGAGGGTCAGTCTGAAAGATGTTCCACAACTTGTTTAGAGTTTGCTTGGAAGATTTGATTTGGACAGCCTGTTGTTTATGCTGTCCTGTTTGCAACAATTTGGAGTTGACGTATGGCACACTTTGCTCACAAGGTAAGGACTGTGTTGTTTCCCCCTTAATATTCTCTGGGCTAGTGTTAACCTTTCTGTCCTGAAGGACATCACCATGCCAGTCTCCTTTCCCTGAGCAGTCTATGCTGCCAACTTGCAAATTTCCCAGAACAATTCCAGCCTTAGTCTCCATCTTGAAAGTTGCTGGTTTTTCTCCTAAGACTTGTCTGTCTTCACTCTGGCACTGTACACTGCAGATACCATCAATGTTCTGAAGCAAATCCTGCTGGTTCACATTGGTCTTGCATTCAGACCCGGCCCTTTCCATATCTCTCTGTAAATACCCAGCTGTGGGCTCATCTTCCAGGTGACATGGCCACTTCATATTAACCCTGTGAGATCCCTCAGCTTGTTGTGGAAGGGCAGACAGTGCTCTGCCTGGGCCTGCCATTTCCGACCATTTGCTGTCTTCCCCTTGTTTTTTAAATACCTGCACTGTGTTTGCATCATTTGAATGCTCGTTCAACCTGCTATTCATTCGTGCCTTTTCAGCGAGGAATTTAAGAATTTCTTGTTCAATTCCATCATCACTATCTGCGGAACTGCTGTTCTCAGTTGTTACATTTTGCCAAGTCGGCCCATCAGCTGTGCGGAACGCAGCACCACACGACAAACCAACCTTGAGATTTCTGATACTGGTCATTTTGCTGTTGCTCTCACCTTCTGACTGCTCTTCTGGCTTCTTGTTCCCTTTATTTTTAAAGTCTAAATAACGTCTACAAGTGCTCTTGTTACTTTTCGATAAGCAGCTTTTTAAGGGGCCGTGGCTAGCAGCGAGGCCTTCTCCAGCAGTCCTGAGAGTTTGGTCACCGATTCCCGTGCTTTGCTCAGAGTAAGTAAGAACCTCTGCACCTGTAAACCGCACTCGTTTCTTGCACCGGTTCTTCATTTCCCTTGACCTTTTTCCCAGTTTCTTTCTGGTTTGCAAGAGATCCTTTGTAGCTGTATCGAGGTCCTCATCACTATCTAGTGAGCTACTCTTCTCATCTGTCTGCCAAGAGTCATGGACAGCGGACTGTTTCTCTCCAACCCAATCCTTGGGAGATAATTTCTCTTGGTCTTGATTGAAAGTCATGCAATTACTTACGTCAGGTATGTCTTGCTCTGATAAGCTACCTTTAAGATTAATCTTGGAGGTGACAGTTGTACTGTTAGTGAATACAAGAGCTTCCCCACTGGACTCTTGTGGTTGACTTTCTCTCAGTTTCTCCTTTTCAAGTTCATGATCAGAGCTGACGTTATTCTTCAGTCTTTTGTTTTGTGACATTGATGTCTGAGATGAAGATGAAGACAAAGAAATAAACAAAGACGGAAAGGCATTCAGACTGTCTTCGCTCTTTGATTCTTGGGAGGTTCTGTCCAGTTCACTCACAGCCCCGACTTTGTTGGATTTCTGACTGCTTTGGCTTGCTTTGAGAGCCAAGTAATTTTGAATTTCTTTTTCAATGCTGTCGCTGCTGTCTGCAGAACTACTTTCACTGTCTGAAGAAACCGTGACCTGCTTGGAGGCAACATTAGTGTATTCACTGCTTGTCTTGCTTTTGCCTGCATACTCTCCCTTTTCTGAAGGAGCACCAGCTAATATACTGTCTGCAGATGGCTGCACTTTGGTCATAAGAAACCTTTCCTGTTTTGGGGAAGATACTGACAGAGTCTCCGACTGAAACCTTTTTTTCCAACCAAGCCTGGAGTCGGTGGTATTTCTCTCGGTTTGTGTTATACAGTCATCGCTGTCACTTGTGTCAGTATCAGAAAGATTGGCAGGACAAAATTGTCCAGGCTTCGGAGCATAGTTTCTCTTGCTCACAGCTGTCTGTGGTATTTCTTTCTCTATGCTTCTCTTACAAGAAGAGATATCAGTATATTTTTGAGAGCCGGGGGACTTGTGAGGCAACAAGCCAAGGACAAAGGCTACGTCTTTGGCTTTCCCTTTCTTTTGTTCTAATTGGTAAAGTTGAATGGCTTCTTCAATCCCATCATCACTGCTAGAATCAGACAATTCTACTCGTGCAGTAACGGGATTTGCCCTTGACTCAGTGAATTCAGCACTGAGGTCCCACTGGGTATTGCTGCTCTTGTGGAGTTCCTTAAAGCGATGACGTGATCTTGGCTTTTTCCTGTTAGCCACATTTTTATTACCCTTGGGATTCCCTTCACTGCCTTTCTCTGTGCTGCAGACAGTCCCCAACTTCCCAAGCTGACTTGATTTAGCGTTGCCCACCTCAGAGTTTGTGTTGATTACTGGCTGTTGAACAGGACGGGCTTGGTTCCCTGCACTGGATTTGATGCACCTCTTTCTCTTCTTCTGTCCCACCTTCACCAGATTTTCTTTCTGCTCGGTCCTCCCCACAGAAGCAGCCTGGCTCTTGGGACCGCTGTTGCTGCCAGTCTCCCTATTCCTCTTCTCCTGTAAGAACCTTTCAATCTCTGCCTGTATACTCTGTTCAAAAGAGTCATTGCTGCTGATACTGGAGGGAGAAGAGCATCTGGATCCTGCAGGCTCCAGGCTGACAATATTCGCAAGGTCAAGCCCTAGTTTGGTGGGGTTCACTCCCTCTCTTCCCTGTGAAATGCCATTGCTGACCTTTGCTGCAGAGTTCTCAATGGCTCCATGTGTCCCTGGGAGGACTTTTGTGTCATTGGCAGCCTTTGATGTTAAGGACGTATCTTCTGTTTTCTTTTTCAAGTATTCCTGAATTGCTTCTTCTATATCTCGGTCAACAGACTCGTCACTGTCCGAGTCCAGAGTGCAGTGACCCAAGTTGGATTCCTCTGTGCCAAGTGTGCAGGATGGATAAGCAGCCTTCAGTTCCTCCACAGCAGCCCCCTTTAAAACACTGATGGAGCTTCTGTCCAACATGCCCTCACTTCGCTGTTTTGTGGCTATGTTTGTTTGTGCCTGGCTGCTGGGCTCACTGTTCATGGCACAAGCTGAATCAGTAGCCTGCAAATTTTCGATGATCATTTTCACATCCACACTGACAGTACTCTGCACAGAGAAGTCCTCTCCGGAGTCAGAGAAGTTCACAGGGTGTCTGAAGTTTCGGGATGTCCCAAAGGGATGCCAATCTGTCTGTACCACGGAGACAGGTGGCAAATCTGTGAAGAACATCATAGCAGAGCGGTGACATCCCAGACATGTGATCCCTGTATGTTCCTCCACTCACATCCTGCAAATGAAACAGCACAGGGAGAAATAAATCAGAAGGGCTGCGGCGTAAATTGGTAAAATTTAATAAAACGCTGTGTGCTTCAGAGATATTCTCGCCCTCTGCTTCTCCCTCAGTATTTCTCAAGAAAAGAGTTGCATTTCCAACGCACCTTTCACGGCTTCAGGAAATCCAAGAACATATTACAGTCAAAAAGATCCCTTCAACTGTTCTAATCCTGGAACTGTGGCAAAGTCCCACAAACTGCAATGGAAGACTAGCCTGATCATTTCAGTAATGTTGTTTAAAGGATAGATATCAGTCAAAAGATCAGGGAAAATTTCCCTGGTTTTTACATCCACCTGAGAGGGCAGTAGGTACCTTGGTTTAATGTCTCACCCAAAAGATGACATCTCCAAAAGTGCAACACTCCCTCAGCATTGCACTGGCAAAATCAGCTTCCATTAGAGCTCATCTTTGCAGTAAGGCTTGAAACCATAAGCTTCTGAGGGCAGAGTTTAATTACAGACCCTTGGTGAGGTACAGTATTATGTGGTCGTATGTCATACATATTAACAGACAGTGGACACCTGATGTCATCCTCTTGCTACACATGCAGATATGGAGATGCTGGTGTTGGACTGGGGTAGACAATGTCAGAAGTCACATGACACCAGGTTATAGCCCAACACGTTCATCTGAAATCACAAGTTTTCGGAGCCCTGCTCCTTCATCAGGTGATGTCACCTGACAAAAACTTGTGATTTCAAATAAACCTGTTGGGCTATAACCTGGTGTCATGTGACTTCTGACGCCACACACACACATTGTCTCCCACACAAATGCATACACACCCCCCAATCTCTTACACACACACATACACACTATCTTCCACACAAACTCACACACACAGGCAAATACTCTTTCTCACACACACACACACTCTCTTGCATATGTGCACTAACTTCCGTACAAATGCACTCACACTTGCACATACTCACACATATGCACATACCCCCAGATATACACACACACTTTCTTCTATACAAAAGCACTGACATATGCACATCCTCTCTCTCTCACTCAAACATGCACATTCTTACATTCACACAGAAACACCTTTCAGCAGAATCCACCATAGACAAACTGCACCTGTAACAATCCTGTTACTGCCCCAAGATCAGCATCAGGCCTAGTCAGAACTCAACAAATACAGACTGCATAAAAACCAAAAGAACTGCGAATGCTGTAAATCAGAGACAAAAAATAGAAATTGCTGGAAAAGCTCAGCAGGTTCGGCAGCATCTGTGGAGAAAAGTCAGAGTTAACGTTTCAGGTCGAGTGATGTCGTGAGGAAGGATCACTCGTCCTGAAACATTAACTCTGATTTCTCTCCACAGATGCTGCCAGACCTGCTGAGCTTTTCCAACAATTTTTGTTTTTGTTTGTAAATAGAGACTAGTTGTGCAATGGTCTTTACTGACACAACAATGTTACTTACCCCTCCAAAAAAATAACTCTGGTGCTGAGGGACATGTTCAAAATCATACATTGCACACAAGTGGAAAACATTGATGGCACAAGTTGGAAATAGCAGCATTTCACCAGTCAATCTGCTGATTCCCCACAACACAATTAAATGAACTGACACATTTTCAAAATTCCAAATTCTCCATGTTCTTGACCAGAAACTCGACTGGACTCACCATGTAAACACAGTGGCTAAAAGAGCAGAGCAGAGGCCAGGAATACTGCAGCCAGTAACTCACTACCTAACTCCTCAAAGCCTGTCCACCATCTATAAGGCACAAGCCAGGAGTGTAATGGAATACTCCCTCCTTACCTGGATGAGTGCAGCTCCAACAACACTCAAGAAGCTTGACACCATCCAGGACAAAGCAGCCCACTTGGTTGGCACCACATCCACAAGCATTCACTTCCCCCACCACTGACACCCTGTAGCCGCAGTGTGTATAATCTACACAATGCACTGCAGAAATTCACCAAATATCCTCAGACAGCACCTTCCAAACCCAGACCACTTCCAGCTAGAAGGACAAGGGCAGCAGATAAATGGGAAGACCACCAACTTCAAACTTCCCTCCAAGACACTCACCATCCTGACTTGGAAATATATCACAGTTTCTTCACTGTCACTGGGTCAAAATCCTGGAATTCTTTTCCTAAGGAGATTATGGGTCTACCCACAACAGGCGACTGCAGTGGTTCAACAAGGTAGCTCACCATCACCTTCTCAAGGACAACTAGGAACAGGCAATAAATGCAAAGCAGGATGCAATGCCCATGTCCCACACATGAATTTAAAAAAAAGTCTGCTTTTGACCTGTAGACATCTGTGTCCTAACTTGTACTATTCACTAACCAGCCCCTGTGCTCACTGGCCTACACTGGCTCTCAGTCCAGCAATACTTCTGTTTGAAATTTTTCATCTTTGTATTCAAATTTCTCAATGGCCTTCCCTTTTAGTATCTCTGCAAAGTCCTGCAACCTGACTACCTCTGAGCACTCTGCAGGTATAGCTGTTGCACATCCCTGATTTTAATTGTTGTACCACTACCAGTCATGCCTTTGAACTGCCTGAGACTGCCACTGCTTCCTAAATCCATCTATCTGTCTCTCTGCTCCTTTAAATTGCTCGTAAAGTTCACCTAAGCAAGCTTTTGAATATCTGGTCTAATATCTGTTTGTGGCTCAAGGTTCAAACTTTTACCTGATAATCTTCCTGTGAATCATATTAGAATATTTGACTACATTGAAGGTGCTAAATAATTCCAAGTAATTGTTAAAAATTCAACTGCTGGAAATTTGCATTCATCATCTTATAAAATTGGTTTAAAGTGCGAATGTCCTGGATTTTGATATTAGTTCTGACAAGCATTGCTGAAAACAAAGATGACTTTGAACTAAGTAACATGAGAGATAAGCTCACTTTACCATTTAAATAGCCTCTCCTTTCCCTTAGTGCCCAGTTGCATGTCCCAGGTCTTTGCAAATTTTAAATGAATTGCAAACTATTCAAAAGCAGGAATAAAAGGGATACAAGGTGTAGAGCTGGAGGAACACAGCAGGCCAAGCAGCTGAATTTTCTGAAGAAGGGTCCAGACCCGAAACGTCAGCTTTCCTGCTCCTCTGATGCTGCTTGGCCTGCTGTGTTCCTCCAGCTCTACACCTTGTTATCTGAGATTCTCCAGCATCAGCAGTTCCCACTATCTCTGAATAAAGGGGATAATAACGGGGCTCACCACACATACAGAACACCCACGAGAAAGAGTGGTGGTTCAACACAGGAACTATTCAAAACCTGACTGCAGCCTGCAGTCATGTGATTGGTCAAGGGAAACAGGCAAAAACATTGGAATCATTTGCTATTTACAGCGAGACCACAACATTGCACCTCCATCTTAATGAAGCAGAGGTTCAACTGAATGTCCTGCTCATCAGCACTTTCCTGGCTACGTTATGTATGCAAGTCTTGTGAGGAGGGAGGACGGGGATGGAAGGGACAAACAGATAAGGAATCCCTGGATTCTCAAATTTGAGTTGGACAAAGAGGCTCAGGGGGATCAGAGGCCATGCTGACCCACATCCTGGAGATGGACAGTGCCCAGTACTGGACCCTAGGGATGGCCAGTGTCCCCATTACCTCAACCCTGGGGATGGTCAGTGACCCCAGCACCCAGGCCCTGGGGATGGTCCCTGTGCCCATTACCCTCA